GATCGCTTTTACATCTACAAAATGCGTAACCTTTATCGACGTATTTAATAAGATAAAAGCTAACCTAATTTACTATTTTAAGTAAATTCTAAAGGGACAATTACAAACTGAGTTAGGGAGCCATATTTTTTAAGTCTGGTAGTGGAGATAGGCGGCTATGATAAATTTATTCATTTTTTGTAAGAGGAATAGTTTAACATAAATCGTCAACAATCAATAGTTAATACACATTTAGAAGGCTACCTGCTATAATTAGTTATACTCGCCATAGAGAAATTGTTATGGCGCACGTCTACCGCGAATGTAGTTGCTTAGGATTATGCTTTATTAATAATATTAAAAATTATAATGTGTGATCCTTATCGACTAAACCTACGACAGACGTCTGCCATTAAATAAGAAAAGTGTTATTGTTAAACTAAAGATTGGGTATACTTATGGATGCAAACTGTAGATTCTGTGAAGAGAATAAGGAGTCGGCCACACATGTGCTATTAGAATGCCCTGCGCTATTGTACATACGAAATAGGTTCCTGGGAATGTATATTTTTATGCAAGAGGCAATAACACTCTGTAAAATAGGTTCTTTACTGTTTTACTTTTTATTGACGCAACAGGCCTTAGAGACCTATTCTGAACCCAGAAGGGCGCACAATAAGCCCGACGGTCGCAGTGCCACATCCCTAACAATAATAATAAATAGTACAAAACTAGAAGGAAATACGTAAGTATTTTACGTAAATGGAGTGATATTGATTTCCTGTTCTGTGGAACTTAAACCGAAAATTGTGTTCAAACGAATCAATAAAGCGAAAAACTTCCCTATGCAATGATTTAGTGCTTGCTGAGTGTACGAGATTGTTTCTCACGCTTCTAAAAAATGGTCAATTTGACATTTTCGAACTTTTGCATGATTTTAAAACTTTAATTATTTTAATGGGTTTCATTGTTAAAAACGCAATTGCAATCGTCAGTTGCAGTAGCAGTAACAGTTCCAGTGTCAGTCTCAGTCTCAGTCCCATTGCAGTTGTTAATGCATTTGTTTTTTGTGTTGTCACTGATACTTCATTCGCCATTAATTGAATAAAAGAATTAATAAAATAAAAATGACAAACAAAATGATATGAAAAAACTACTTGCAACCAACTGAAATCTATCTGAGCGATGCAATAACGCCACCAAAAATAACAAAAACAATAAAAACAATGAGAATAACCACTGAATGTTTACGTTTCATTAGGAGAGAATTTAAGCTGCAACTGTGCTAGTTGGATCACAGATATGGAACGATTTAATTACACAAATAAACGCTTAACATGCAGACAGACATGATTTTATGATTTCAACTAAATAAGGAGAATGAATGTGTACGAATATTTTTAAAAAACATATTTTTTCAGGAAAAAATGAGTTCAGTTAATTTTTGTACAGGCGACAGTTGTGGGAAATAGGCAACGAACCACAGCACCAACAAAATGGGCTGAACGCAAATATGTCCACAGACACCAAACCAATAAAAACATATCGCATATATGTCTCTATCTCTATATAGATAAAATTATGTACTACTTATATATATATATAACATATATACGTGCGCACAGAATACGAGTATTTATTTGTTTTTTATTTATTTTTTAAAGTAGCCAAAGGGATTCAAGCGAATCCATTTCAAAATAAATTAAATCGAATTGATTTTGGCAGGAAAAGTGTTGCCAGGAGGCTTCAGCCGTAGTTTCTCTTTGCAATTTTATTGATCTCAGTTTTAAAGCACTTGAATTTATTCCTCATTACCTTATGAAAATAATAAAGTATATATTGAAAGAATGTGTACATATCCTTTCACAGTTACCTTATTCCATGTTATTACTATTATTATTATTATCCTTTTTTGGTTGTCTCTTTTAGTTTTCTGACGTTTGAAATGGAAATTTCTTTTGCATTTACTTATTCTTGCCAAAATACACTCGAAAGTTAGGTCATACTTTTATAAGCAGAACTACACTATCTAACAAATAATTATGTACAATTTAACATAATAAGACGACGCAAAAAAAGGCGAAAAAAATCTTGTCAGTTTTGAAAACATAACTGTATATCTAAAATACAAAGTTTCCACATAGGGTCCAGAGATAATGCTTTAGCTGAACTTAAACTTTAAATAATGAATTCGCTTTATCTCTTTGGGTGTATTTCTGAAGGAAACAACCTGTTTATTATCAATCATACAAACACTATCACTTGATCTTTCTTATCTATTTTGTCTGTTTTATTTAAACAGACAAATGACGCAATGATCGGCATGGGAAATTTATTCTTCGAATGTCTTGTATCCGAATTTTATTAAGTGATAACATTAGCTTGTGCCAATGATTCTGATAATTTAATTATTTATTTAAATCATAATACATTTAACCTTACGCAATATTCTTGTCTGCCCCTGAAGGTTCTACCGATATAATTGGATTTAGCTAAGATATTTTCATTTTCTTATTTAAAAACTCTTGAACACTGTCCGTACTGGGGCGCCAATTGTAACATATTCCGGCAAATAACATAATCAATTCTATCATCTATTATCTGTCAAATAATATCATCATTACACGTAATTACTTTTGATCCATCACTATTAGTTTCCATGTATATGTCTTAAAAACTTCTTGAATAGATGCCCTTGAAAATTGTGTTTTCTTTTAATTTTTTATAATAAAAGAGTATATATAATAATAAATACCATAACTTTTGTTAACTGGTGTGTTAAATAATGCTATATATTTTAAACGTTACAAACTTAATAAATAAATAATAATAACTCTTCAGAGTGCTATAAGAATATATCCACATCTTATGAATGTAAGCACATTTAATTATCAAAATCGAATATTTAAATCCGTGCGAAACCTATTGATAGGTAGACCAGATATATATCACTGGTTAATTCAAAAACTGCTACTTTATTTTAATGTTCTTCCACTTTTTAAAACTATTTCTCCACGTTGGAGAGTGTATATATTTATTATGACAAGCACATTCTGACAATTAGACAAACTCATACACCATCTTTATAATTCTCATTAGCTTAAATTAAAGGTATGTATATATAACTCCTCGAGTCATTACTATACATAACTTTAGTTTAATATAAAATTTTGCTTTGTATGCTTATAGAATTTTGGAATCTCAATATAAGGTTACCTAGTTTATTGATTTATTTAAACATAAATAAGTTCTAATCTCTCAAAAGAGTAGATTAGGATGTGAGATCAATTATAATTTCTGGTTTCAAATATATTATGAATAGTTTTTATTTTAATAACATTTCATGCTATAATAATTTTTTAATTTGAACTAAACAAATTTTTTTTTATATTATATAAAGATTATAATATTTTTATAGTCCTTTAACATTAAAACGGTGTTTGTTTTCCCTGCATTTTTTTTTTTTTTTGTAGAATTATTTTCTACGCTTAGTCCGATTTGCCCACACTTTATCGTAAAATAGTTTCTTTGTTATAATCACGGTTGCCACTTATGGTACTTTAGTACCAAAATTGGTACTTTTCTTTTTTTTTTTTTTCGTTTGGTACTCATATTCAAAAACTGGTCCATTTTTGACGACCCAACTTTATTGTGGATATTTCCAATTAATTTTTTTTATAAATGCAACTTTGCTCTATTTTATATTTTTTTCATTTATAACAATATGAAAAACACAGAACGAGAAAACAAAAAGGTCCAAAAAAATTTTGGACCTTTTTTTACAGAAATGGTACCTTTTTAAACCAATTTTGGTACAGAAAAAAATTTTCAAGTGGCAACCGTGGTTATAATGTATACATTTGAGTTAAATAGTGCCCTCATAGTAGAGCTGAATGCCTCCAGTGGATTAAATGGGCTTACGTTGCAATATACACTATTTTTGTTGTTGTTACGAATATATAGTCCGATATTATTGCTGTAATGTTTTTTCTATGTTCTCGTAAAGGTAAATGCTAGCGTGCTTGCAGATTATATATCATGAAAACTTGAAATGATAGTAAAAGATATAAATATTGTGGATGTAAGTTTTTTTATTATAATCTGGTAGATAATTTCATGGCATTTATTTTCAAATACTATTTCCCGCATATGTAACTCGGCTACGAGTTACATGATCCATTCGATCAGTCCAATTTTTGACTATATTTTTTTGCAATAAATGTCAGCGTATGGCATCAATGGTGTTATGAACATTGATTTCTAATGCTTCAAGAATTGTTGGTTGAACATTGGTCAGTATAAACCAATGACAAGACAGCCACATAAAAAGTAATCGGAAAGCGTTAAGTCGTATGAACGAAGGACCAGTTAACAGGACCACTTCTGGTCAACAACAATAAAGTTGTTACTGAAAATAAAGCAGTTCACACGAAATCCATTGTTGAGCGCGCTGTATGGCAAGTTGTGCCGTCTTATTGGAACCAAATGCCAAATGTCATTGATGTTCAACTGATAAATTTTTGGAAACAAAAATGAAATCAACAATGCTCGATAGTGCCATTTCGAAAGAAATAGGTACCGATGATGCATCCAGCGTGAAAACCGCACCAAACAGTCAATTTCTGTGGATGTTTGATGGTCCATGGATGTTTGTGATCCATAACTGCACGAATTGTTTGCGTAATAGGTTCTATGAATTTCGCAAACAGATTTTTAAACTATTCATGATGAATTGTCAAACCTTACTGAACAGAAATGTACTGAACAGAACCTTTTGACATTTTCAGCTGTTAAACCATAGTTGTCGATATCAATAGCTCTCATGTTGCTTAAGAAACATCCTATATATGGTATATGTGTATATTATTTTCTTATTCAAATATATCTGATGTTAGTGATATCAATACTGCTTAGTGTGCTAAGCAGACTAACTCAAAGTTAAGAAATAAAATATGGTTTATGTGATATATGTATAAGAAAAATTAAATATATTATAAAAAATATTTTATTAATCTGACACACATACCAAATCAATCATGTAACTTAAAGAAGGTTTCGTAGTATCTTCATAGTTGTAAGCCATTTCCTTCTCAATTTTTGGCTTGTCCCAAATTTTGTGCATGTCAGTGTGTATCATCTTCTAAAAGAGAGAATATGAAAATTTTGAACTGCCTTAAGCTGCAATTTTTATTTTGAAACATTTTTCTTTTGGTTTTAAATGAAAACTTTATGATAACAGATTAAAAGCAGGAAGAATGTCTTCGTAACTTATTACAAGTCGCTGACAGCATAAAAAAATTAAAAGAGAATGATAAACGTTTTCGTTGGCAGGATGCGCAGATAATCGGGCGATTCAAAGGGTTTCCGTTGTCTTTTCACGCTTGTATAGCGAATTTTTTGAAATAATACACCTTCAGGGTAAATGTAAAAGTTTGTAATTTTTTGATTTTGGCTTATTACGAAAACTTAATCTTTTTACAGAATGCTTACACAATAGTTGAAGAACGTTTGAAGATTATGAGAAAAGTCAAATATGTTGCTGAGTAGTTTAATCAGAAATTTGAAGATACTTGTTAAAACGTGGATTTTTATAAGAACCACATACCAATAATGACATTAGCAATGGAATTTTGATTAAAGATGTCTTTCAATATACTCCTCAGATGTAAAACTCAACAGCATTCAAATTTTCTGCACTGTATATCATACAGTTTAGTAAGATCTGTTTGATGTCAATTTCGACGACTTCCAACAAAAAGCTCTGCTATAATTTGGTTAAGGATCATTTTCAAAACATGAAAAATTGGAGGATTATATGTTTGGGAAATTTCTTACCAAACAAAACTAGGATAGAACGTTTTGTGTAGCTTCTGGTAACGTCTTGTTGAAACCACATATTTTTCAACACTTATATCATCAATTTCCTGATGATATAAATGCTATCAGTTAAATACAAATCCTAGAGCTCATATAGTAGTAGGAAAATAATTAAGTTGAGTTCCCTGAATTGTAGCTAATCAACTAAAAATTTTAAATCCTGCTGGAACAGCAATAATTATTGTAGCTGATGTAAAATAAGCTTGAGTATCTACATCTATTCTCGTGGATACAAAAGTCTTTTTACAATTCCAAATAGGTTTTCTCTAAATAAGTTGTGACAATTGTGTGTCCAAACATCCCCAGTAAAGAAATTTCGATAAGAAAAATCGTGACTATTTTTGTACTGTTTTCACTTTTTCTACAAAGTTAGAGATTATTAAGTAATCCATATTAATCTTATCTAATTTAATCTAATCAAAACATATCAGATTTCACACTGAATCTACATATAAGGGTTACTGTTTATGTTTTGAGTCTAATAAATAAAAAATAAGAAGTGTTTTCTTTTATGATTAATTCACTTTTGTATGCATTTGAACCGTTTTTCAAAGCAGTTTTTCCAATTTTTTAGACACCTCCAAAGCATGGTTCTTAAATGCAACAACGGCTTCTGCTTCCTCCACCAACAAAAAATCATGAGCGTTGTCCACGCAATTTATTCTTGACGGAACAAGAAAAAGTCATTGGGTGCCAAATTAGGACCAAAATCAGAATGGCAGATGACACATCAATTCTATTTTATAAATGTTCATAAAGTCGGTTGTTAGATGAGATGTGTGAGTACTCACATGTCTTCATGGAGATGGAGACGGTGCCTGTTTGTTTTCTGTATGTCACTGAAGACTTCCGGTAAAGAAATGGTCGTATACTTGTAGCATTTAGAATTGACCATTTTACGTTCCTATATAGTTGGTATAGTTGTCACATGACTAGTTTTCCCGAAAAAATATGCGACCACTTGTATCGAAGTGTTTGGAGCGCCAAAAAATTTTGTTAGATTTGGTTCATCTTGAAATACTCATACAGTGAATTGTCGTTTACGTTCCAGCTCATACGTATATGTCCAAGATTCGACACCTGTTATAACCTTAACATATATATGTCTTTTGAAGCACAGTCATTGTACTTCTCGAGCATTTGTGCGCTATGTGCACAAATCGACACGAGCCTCTTTTTGAGACTTTTCCAAAGAGGAGGAGTGGGGTTCAACGAGTATACACCATTCCCACGGCTAAATGATCGTGTAATATTTTGTACGCGTATGTGCTGGTGGAACTAATGCGTAGGGTTCCACCTCAACCTCAATCTCACAGTATGTGGTATGACGATCTTGCATTACGGATATTAGTTTTTGCACAGAATCAATGTTTTCTGGCACGAAAACTAATTTTGGACGAATCAGTTGTTAACGAGTTTCATCAGTGAGCTAACTGTGACCACGATTAAAATCATTGTATGAGTATCAGCTTTTTACAGTGGTAAAGGGTGAAGCTTTATTGCCAAATATCGAAGTATGTTGATCGATCCACTCTTGTCTTGATACTTATAATCCAAGTGGAAAGTCGTAATAAATCATCGCAGGAAAATTTTCTATCATTTTTATTTTTAGCCTTGGAAAAAAGTTGTGTTTGATATAGGTCACTGATAGGTCAATGATGCTGTTAAATTAGCACCACGAAGTGAATAAACTTTTACATATATTAGTATCCATGTATAAATTTTTTAATACGTTTTTATGATAATTTGTATATATACAACACATGTGTAATATATATAATAATTGTTGAGATCATTGAGATTAAGAGAACACGACATTTACTATCCTTGGACTTCGAAAACTTATGTTAGCATACATTTTCCTCACAACACCCATACCAGCATTCGCAAAAAGGCTACAAAGCGAAAAGCCAGTTATCATCAGCAAAACTTTAAACTTACAATAAAAAATTAAATTGAAAGTAATTCATATATATATATATATATATATATATATATATATATATTGTTGTTGTCTTTATACATTTTTCAGAATAACATTTATTGTTTTTATACTTTCGGCTATCAATTTTTGTGAATAATTTGATGACAATTTTTTTATATCCAAAATTCTTGATTAATCTCTTTAAAAAATATATACATAAATATCAATTTATATTTGTACTTCGAAGCAATACATCACATTTGCATAATTGAGCTTATATACTTCACCCAATAACTTCATCAATTATAGAGCGAAATACCTTCCTTTACTTACAAATTCTCATGTTCAGATTAAGTGAGATGATTGCTTGATGCCGTGCAATTTATTTTAATTAGTAGATCGTTTTCAATTAAATTCTAATTTATGTCACTTTTATCGGAAGTAACTTAGGCAGTAACAAGAACAATAAAAACCATCAGGCAGGGTATTTGATGTGGTTGCGTGAGCATCTCCAAGCAAAACTGTCAAAATATAATAAAGTAACATCCGTCAGGGAAGCAAAGATACAAGGACATACTTCGGTCTGTAACGCAGTAATTTTTTAAGTGTATCGATGAGCATGAATGTAGCAACAAATTAATGTCACAGCGATACATAAAATGTATTTTATATGTATGGGATATATTTATGGTTCGCCCGCGGTTACAGTGTACCATCGACAGACACTACCTGCAACAACGTCAACAGCGCTTACATAATTTATTAACATCATTTGCCGTTGATTTCAATTGAATGCGAATATGTATCGCTATTCACAAAATTATTTAACACTCTTTCGACCACGCTAAGCATAAAAAAATTGCTTTGGGATCGTTATAACAAGGTATACATACGTCACGATACTATATGCTTAGTATGGGCAACCAAATCATCACCCCCACTAACACTGCGTAGTTCCCTTCTAACACGCCAACCAATCCAAGTACCAATCTACTTATGCATACCTTTTGGCTTCGGTTTGTCGGTTTGTCAGTTTGTCAGTTTGTCGGTTTGTCAGCTTGGAGTTTAGCCGTACAAATATTCTCCAATATAATGACGACACCTATAAACATTAACTTGTCAATAAAGGTAATTCATTATATCGCCATGAAATACCCAGTGGAGCAACAGCGGCACAGTAAAAACATCAAAACCTACAACAACTACACGAACAACATTGGCAATGCAAATGGAATGAGTTGAAGTATCTATATATATTAATATATGAAGTTAAATGTATCACATCGCGCTCTGGTTGTGTAATTTTTTATCACATGAATTGCATGCGCTTTATTGTTGTTGTTTGACGATTGCTTCTGTTGGTTTACCATCATTGCTACCGTTTCGCTGATATCGGAGATATCCATAATATAGGTACGAAGATTGTTGCTACCAAAATATTTAGCGCTTCGATATATCGTCATCATAATCATCACCATCAATTGAGGCAACCGAAAATTGCGAAGCACGGCATCTAACGTGGTTTTTCGATAAACAATAAAATGTATCTCTAAAGTATAATAAAATGCCTGAAATAGTTATAGGCGGCCATCGGAAATAACAAATCGACGCAAATGCGCCAGTAAGTATTGCCGAATTGACTACTGTGAGTTTGTGTGCAAGACTGTGGGTTGGGGTGGCATACTTGCTCAGTTGGTTGGCTGGTAGACACTGGTTGTGGCCCCTTATCAGCATAATCAGGATTATAATAGGAGGGCGCATTATTTGTGTAAATAAGTATCTTGTAAAATGAAATTAACTGTTGACAAATAATTGACAGGGGCGCATTTAATGAAGTTTCAAAATTTAGTGCAAAAAAATTTAAATACTGATGAATCATTTTATTTAAATAGATTTTTTCTATATTAAAGATTTAAAATAACCACCTTTACTATAATTATTTTGGAAATTCTTTTAAATTGTATAGCAACATTGTACATTGTTCAACATTGTTGTGAATTTTATTTTATATATCTCACTATAATGTTTTTAAAAATTCAAAGTAGCCATCAATGACCACATTGCATAGAGAAATATCCAAAGAATGTAACTTATGTATTCAAAAATATATGGCAGGCATACTCTTGTGTTCAAAATTTACTACAACGGCTTAAAGTTTTTTCATGTTGTTTGTACTTCATATAAAATTAAACTGGGAATGCTTCGAGCCTCCCCGCACCCTATCGAGAAAGAAGTCTATATTTTTATATCTTTAATCAGAACATTCAAGACACAAATGTAATGAAAAGGAAGTGCAAAAACAAGAGAGTAGCGGGCATTATTTGTAGACTCTGAACTATTCTGTGAATTTTACAATAGTTTCTAAAACAACAAAATGTGATGAAAATAGTCATGCTAATCCATGATTATGTTCCATTATAGTCATAGAATATAGTTCCATTAGTGTTGTCATGAATATCATTATATTTGAATAAAAAAAAACTGAGTTATTTAGTCTGAAGTGATGACTTCACTGTAAATACATGTTTTTTAAAGAAATACACCTTGTGCTCTTATTTATGTGGATACCCACATTTTCTGAATCTTTGCTTTAATAAATATTTGTAATGAATATGCATCTAAAAGGCAAAGTTGTTATCTATTCTTACCTGATCTATATAGTATCACTACATACACGCTTTAGCAATAATGAACATAAACTTCGAATTAATTAACTAAGTAATTAAATTGAGAGTCATGTCGAAAAAAGTGGTAGCATAAATGGAAAAACTTTAATATATTTCATTCTATTTAGGGGTTACATGAACTGCCAGCCGATCTTGGGAACCAGAATAGATCAGTGTGGAAAAGTACT